GTATGATGAGTTATGATTCAAGAAAGGGGGACACAATGGATCTGTAAGGTCGAAGTGATTAACCCCCCTCCCACTCATTCTAAATTCTAAAAATGACCTATTCATCGGTCAATGCCCGTAATTATCGACATTAACAAAGATACTTTTGCCATGAACTAAAGTGTTTCTTTCCATCTGAAACAATATATTATAAAAGTATTTCAATAGGCTAGCGAACCACCCTCGTCCTATTTAAAAAAATAGTTATGTTTAAAAATATTACTTAGGTATGTTTGAACCGGCCAGAAAACAACAAGAAAAACATTAGGTGATCAACTCTATTTGTCCAAAGCTACTTGATTAAAAATTAATGGTTTTAACACAGACATGGTACTTTAGATTGAAATTTAAAATGCTATTTTTAAAACGAAACTTCTTTACGCTCGTTGGGAGTAAAAATGCAAGGTCGTGACACACGAGCTAGCGTCAGGGAAAGCGGTAACGGCAGTGTTTCCACAGCTACCCCATTCGGGGTAGATTCTCTTTCTAAACAGTTTAACTTGCTCTGTGTTACGATCTGTGAAATACGCGGCTAAAAAAATCACTATAATAAATTTGATACTGTACCTGTGTACCAGTATCCTGTCTGCTAGAAAGTAAATTTTCATGCATATTTTTATCGATAGGTTTGTAGCTTCTCAATAACGATCTAGGTAGAGCAATAGAATTATTAGAGCTAGCAACTCGCATTTTTATTGGAGGACACTGTCATATTTATTTTAAAACAATAATCAACGAGAATATTCGTATAATTTAACAAAATTACTGTAAACCACTATAAATACGAATTGTTGGTTAGGTTCAAAATTTTTTCTCTTCTTAAATAAATTTAAGTGTTAACATTATTAGGCATTTGTATACAAGTGTGTATTTGGTGGTTGTATACAAGGTGGTATTCCACAAAATTTGTAGGCCATTAAGAGACCATTTCACTAGTCCAAAAAAGTAGCAAAATAAGCGTTCGGCATTTAACGTTTTATGTAAAACTGGCTAGGTATTTTTACACAAATGAAGAAAGAAATTAAAGATAAAGGATTATACTATATCCGTGTTGTAGCACATTTTTAGACAACTTCTTTATTTTCAAGATCTTGATGGTCAAACACCAACAAAATATTACTTATGTTTGTATTAAATTTTCTTGAAAATAAAGACATAATTTAAAATTCCTTTACAATGCGGAAATAGATTGAAGTTTTGTGATTACAGTGGTATATAATTTATATGGTTTTGTAAGTTGGCTCGCTATTTTATGCCAAATGCTGAAGCTCTGCAAACCTTAATCAAGCCTTAATCAAAGCACGTGTATTTGGAATTTTGGGTATGGCTTAACACGACAGGATCGGGCTTTGGCCACACACCCGCTTTACCGGACCCCTTAGAGTGACCCGAACAGTACAGCGTAATGGACTCTTAAGGAAAAGGAAAATGTACAGATTACAGAAATAAATTGAAAATAATATTTATATTAAAACAGCATTATATTAGGTCACTTTATCAAAATGTCCTTTAAATCCTTCAATTTAATAGCTGTTAGTAAGAAGCTCGACTAAAAATATGCGCACATAGTGTACACACGGTTTTTTTTAATTGGAAATGTCAATAGTTGACGTATTGTGATAATATGTCATTCTATTCAGAATGTCATTTTCTTCTTCACAAACTAAAAAAGTAGGGAGAGTATTATTTAAAAAGCAAAATTTGTACTAATTTCCGGTGGAACAGGAAGTGACCAAAGGTACTTGAATACGTCAATTAATCCCAATTTATGTCATATAAATAATTTAATAAAAAAGTTATAAGGGTGACCTACTTTGAAAAAAAAAACGGTTTTATAATTATATAACTGTAATTTTGTTAAATTAAATAATTATTTTACAATCGATCCAAGGAAGAAAAATCAATGTTTCTATCTCTAATTTAACACTCGTTATAGCCGGAGAGCTGGCGACAGATTTAGAGAACATATTTTAGGCAAGTTAGAATAACAAAAAAAATAAACTTTAATAACTTGTGAGCCGAGAATCCTAAGTCTGGCTGGGGGGTTGGGGGTATTTCGCTACTGCGCAACCCATAACATTTGCAAAAAAATAAATCCAAAAAACATTCTTTAGGCAACTTGAAATTTGTTTATTCTTAAATTTTAGCATCTATTTAACCTAGAAATATGTATGCCAGACTTTTTTTTTCGGGTTTAAAGTGTAACCCGACCATTCCAAATATGTTTAATTATTATACCTGGAAAACATACTTTAAGTATTCTAAAATTTTTACAGCGTGTTTATTAGATGATATTAAAAAATATGTGTTAATTGCCAAACGAATTCAACGGGATTTAATACTTGCCTGACGCGAATAAAGATTTTAAATGAGCGCTATAAGAAAGTCTTGTGAGTATCTATAAGCGTGAGAAAGATAGTTTATTTAGATCCGTCGGCAGCCGATGATGAGCCGATGCGGCTGACATAACAGTATTTTGGAGTACTTCAAATTTTCATAGAAACAATTTTTTTTTCGGTTTCATTTCAATTATTTGCAGGCTTTTTAATTCAGACATTATTTTGTTGGAATTAAGTTCCCAAGTAGCATTTTCACGACTTGCGACCACATGTTCACTAAACACAACGTTGGATTAGTTACAAAAAATAGTTAGCTCACTACCTTGGGTATTAAAATAAATTTAAACGTTTTTATAACGTTGTGCCGACGTTGGACTAGTACTACAGCAAAGTAGAAGCTTCTGCGACGTCGAATAAACGTTGTCTTCTAAACTTTTTTGCTTAAGTGATCTTTAGGTGATTCGGACAACGTAGTTACAACGTTGGACAATATAGAGTTTTCCGACGTCAGTTTCAGGACCTATTCCAACGTTATACAAACGTCGTCTGTTTTACTAATTCCAACGCTGTTTAGATTTCCTTATTCTTACGTTGGTAGGACGTCGAGTCACTACCTTTTTGCAACTGTATTGAACCATAACCTTAAATCTTAAATTTTCACTTCATTGTTCTGTTCAGTCAGACAGTTCAGTACTGTTTTTGTTTTTATAAAAAAAAACTTAATTAAAATGGACATAAGAAAGGTACATATAAAACTAAATTTAAATATACATCGACATATATTACCGATAGTTTATCCACTCCCTCGTTTATTTAGATTATAGAGGGCGGCACAAGCTAGACTCTAGGATGACTAAATTAGGCAATCTTGCGACTAGTATACTACCTGTTAAGGCCGAACTGCGACTTTAATAGTCCAGTATGCGACTACTCGAACTACTCCATCTTAATCTCCAAAACAACAAAGTAAAAGCCGCCATGTTGTTAAATAAGAAAATGTTTCGTTCCTAAAATAGCAATTCCTGCTTTTTGAATACATTAACTTGAAATATTTGACCCTAAAAAACACGCGGAAACAATTTTTTCGACTGCGAATAAATTATTCTCATTTTACTAAAAAAAAATTCAAGGAAATTTTTAAAACTCCTTTAATTTTAAAGCCCATTAGTATTTTTCAAAGTAGAAACAATACATTTATCAATAAAGTTGTTTGCGTTTAACTTTTTTGCCTTGGGTAACGAATTACAGAGTCGGTTAAAGTGTTTCAATAATTATGATCTTCAAACTTCCTCCACACTTAAATACTTTTGTTTTGTTTTCCTTCACTGCCATCTGACATATGTCTCTAACTAAATCATAAAAATAATATTTTTACTATAATTATCCCAATTTAGGATAAAACGCGACTTAGACGCCATATTAGTTTTGTATTTCTGTGAATTAGTATTTTAAACAACGTTGCAGTTTGTACTAAATTAGGCTTCTAGCCAACGTCGGTATCCAACGTCGTTTCGACCCTAAAATTATTCTCCAAACTAGTGCAGACTAGGGTTGGCACGAGGTTGTACCGACGTTGCGCCCCGACGTTTGGTCGCGTGACACAACGTTGTCCCGACGTCCAAATGCTGCTTGGGTTACCAGGTACAAATATGTATTTATAAATTAAATATTGACGTGCATAGTGTAAATAGTTTAGAATAATTACTGCAAATAATTTTTTTAGTAACTACTAATTTCGCTACCAACTACTAAATCACAATGGATAAAAAACATTTAAGTTGTGTAGTTTGTAAAAAAGTTACTAGTGACAAAGTTATTGTTTTTGATGAAGGCAGACTATAAAAATGTAAAGAATTTTTAAAAGTGCGCCAACAACATGGTTTAAAATTTAAAGAAGTGGTTTTACCAGAAAACGTAGTCCCGACAAAAGGGTACCATGTACAGTGCTAAAAAAATTAGTATTCTGGAATTTTATTAAAGTACCATTGTTAATCTTTCTAAATCGATTCAAAAGTAAGTAAAAGTCGAGGTGCCCCCCTTTAGTTAAGAACCTTCTTCTAAAAAAATAGTTTATAAGCTGTATTATATTATTTCCTATGAAAACTACGTCTACCTGTGAAATTTTTTCTTTTTTTTTGAGATTTCATCTTAAAATGCAGATATTTTCTGGATGAACGTAATTTGATAAACATTGCAGATGGTAATTTTTGCAATTCTTTCATCCTTCTCTCTTGAATTTAAAAGCAGTCTGCATAAAAATATAATAGAATCATCTTTTTTTTCAAATTATAATAACATCTGCATTTCCGCTTTTCTCACTTTCTTAGGAATCTAATAGAATATTTAAAAATTAAAAGTACGTATTTCCATTTTTTATTAATAATCAGATATTAAATTATTTATTAATAACGCTTTTAATAGATTAGATGATATATAAAAGTATGTAATAAGTATTTTAATAGAGCCAGTTTGGAATAAAAGAAAAATTCATGACAAATGTTTCATGACAAAATGGCGAAGGAATTATGAATACAATTTTAAAATATAATTGAAAAATCCGGAAAAATTCATAATTCCATGGTGGTATACTAATAATAACAATCAATAAATTAAAACAATTACACTGTTTTATCATTTTTATTAAATGTAGACTCTACACTTTCTCTAATTTGACATATTTATATCAGTTTTAACAATAATTGCATTTCGTAATGTATCTATCACATTGTGTCGTTTATACAAGTAAACTTATATTTTACTAAGATATTGTTGTAAAACACGTTTGAAGAATATTATACTCTAATAACACAGAAACTAATAAGGCAATTTCAATTCTTTTTTTACTACTTTAAAATTACATTTATGATAATAAACAATATTATATAACAGAATAATATTTAATGAGAGTCAAATACCATAAGATTAAAAAAAGGCGTCAGAGTTCGCTTGGAAATGAAGATTGCTGTTATTTTATACATATTTAAAATTATATGAAATGTCATCGATCGTCATTTCCAAGCCAGCTTGACGGTGATTTTTTTTGATCATACTGCACATTGGAACATACTTGAAGCCGTAACAATTTTCTATAAATTTTATTCTAATATTATAGAAAATTGTACGGAGGAAACATTATAATATAATTTGCTATCTAAAGGCAGGTCCATATAATATACTCTAGTGGTAGAAGATCATGTTATAAAACTAACAATTCGACCAAAAGTAATTAATAATATTGTATTAATATAGGCACTTAAAAAATTAAGTACTATAGATTATAGCAATCGTATTAAACATATGGTTAAGTCTACACTTTGATTTATAACGAAACAACAATCTTTGATACTTTATTTCAATAAAGTAAAAATTAGCTCAATAAAATTAAATTCTATAGATTTTTATTAGGATAAAATTCCTAAGAAAGATGTACTAATTTTTTGAGATATGTACCAAATAAAATGAGATTTTAAATTTAAGGGTAAAACTAAATGAGTTGTATAAAGACTCATTTAATGTGTACATCAACAACAGAAATTATGGAAAAAAATCATAAAAAGCAGTAATTTCAAATATTACACTTTATCGGTAAGATTAACTTCAGTCAGTTTAATATCTCCATCGTTGCCTCCATTTTCAAGCTGCTGTCCACTAATCTTCCGTTCGGGAATCGGTTCTCCTTTCAAAATAAACTGAATTTCGTCCAATGTCTTGCCTTTAGTTTCTGGAATGTAGAGCCACGAAAATATTGCCGTCAAAACTGTCGTTGAAGCGAAAATGTAGAATGGCAGATCCAGATAATAAATGTCTATTAATCTCTGGTACATTTCTACTGACAGTAATCCGAAGAATAGGTAGGAGAAATCAGCCAATGTCATGCCCATAGCTTTCACTTTAGCCGGGAACAGTTCGGCTGTCATTACTATGGGTATAATTCCCAGTCCAAATTTGAAAACAGCGGCGTACACCATAACTGCAGCGATGGGTATCCAGGAAATTCCAGCGACGTCCTGACCCGATTTTTTCATTGTAAAGTATCCCGCCAATACGAATAACGAGATTCCGCTCAATAAGCTGGAGGATATAAGGAGGCCCTTGCGTCCGAACTTGTCACAGATAAAATCGGCTATGGTCGCTGCTATCAACATGAAGGCGGAGAACATAATACCAGCTACCTCGTACGAAACGTACTCGGACTCTGCTTCTTTTAAAATCGAATGCAAATTCATCAGCATCACACTGATACTACTGAAATGCTGGGCGGCATTTAATACGACCATAATGATCAGAGCTTTACGATTGCCCTTGTTGATTATGAGATCTTGCGGACGTCCTCTTTCGCTTCTCTGTCTTCTAATTGCCACCGTTATCTCTTCGAATTCCTTTTCGAGGTTTCCTCCCGTTCTGAGCCTCTTTAAGTGTGTCTTGGCTTTTTCGCCTTTGCCTTTGGACAGTAGGTAGTATGGGGAATCGGGCATAAATGGAAAGGTGATCAGTTGAATTAAGACGAAAGCTGATCCCACGATTGATGAGGTATAGAAAGGCGTGAAAGGTGCAATAGCGTAAACGACTAATATTCCTACCAACATCATAACGTAAATGACACCAGCAAGGAATCCTCTTATTTTCTTGTCGGCTATTTCGGCTATGTACATAGGAGCGGCAACAAAAGCTACGTCACCGGATAAACCCGTCATAAATCTGAAAACAAAATAAAAAACATTTAAAATCAGTTAAAATATCGAAAATAATTCTTAAATATTTTTCTGTTATAATTTTGGCTTTAATATACAGGGGGGTCTTAAATAAGTGAAAATATTTCCAAGAGTGGTAGATCTCGGTAAAAAAACATATTCTCTCTTTATCCTTTTTCAAGTACAAAATTGCTGAGTTATTTTATTTTGAAAATGTATAAAACAAATACTTGAAAACCACTGAATTTTCTTCTAGATTTTCATTTTTGTAATTTTAATCTAATACCTATGTTGTCATAATATTAAGATATTATGTTTTTAAACTATATTTAAAATAAGGGCTCAAACGCACTGCCGACCAGCATTTGATTCAATGTTCAAATGCTGATCGCTGCGACCGGGGCCTGTTTCATAAAAATGAAGAGTTAAAAAGTTGACGAGTGAGGAGTTGCAAAATGTTGCATTTTATTTCATAAAAGTTTTGAAGAGTTGAGGAGTGTAGGGTTGAAAAGTAACGAGGTGAAGAATTGGTTAGTTTAAAAAATGTTTAATTTTATTTCATAAACACTCTTCGCTCGTCATTTCGTCAAGATCTACTGACGAGTTTACGAAAACCCTCATTTTTAGTTCAAATACGTTGTAGTGCACATCATATATAGTATATTTAACAAAACTTTGGTTGCACATCATAATACGACTACCAGCAAACTCCATAAGACGACGCATGGTGTCATTGATGACATACAACCAAAGTTTTGTTAAATATACTATATAATATAATAATATACAAAACCTACTATTTAGCAGTGATTCTTCTTCTGATGAAGAAAATGTGCCACATAGGCAAAGAAAGTTATATAGGAAGAGAGTAAGGTAAGATATTTGGCACAATATACTTACGAATCTATGTATTATAAATGATACGATTTCAAAAGCTACGGGTGGTTAGAAAATCGACCCCTTTATGCAAATGCCCAATTCAGGATGTGTGAAGAAAAATTTACTTCTCTTCAAATGATTCTGGATAACGACCTGAAGCAAAGCCCTAGAGGAGGAGGATTAAGAGTTAAACAAATTATTGAGGTGGCTCTTTATTGGCTGGGAACAGGCGTACAATACCATGCTGTAGGAGATTTATTTTATTTATTTATCGTATGGCTCATATACATGCAAGAAAACCAGACACTTAAACATAGACATAAAATAAACTACAATGTAAATGAAAACATTACAATGTAAATATAAAAAAAAAGCATAATATAAAAAGACAACATAAAAAACGTATTTACGAACACTATATATTAACATCTAGATGCCCTATCCATTCCAAAGCTGATGGAGAAGCCTCCAGAAAGTCCCTCCAGTCTTCACCATAAGCGCGTAGGTTGCACTCTCTAGTTATGTGATGGATGGTTTGGTGGGGGGATCCGCCATCACATTCTGGGGAAGGTATTTTTCCCCACTTATAAAGGGAATCCGCACATCTTCCATGGCCAGAGCGTATCCTATTCAAAGTTGACCATGTTTTCCGGTTTAGATCGGTACCCCGTGTCTCGCAATAGTTATGTTTGAACCAGGAATATAGGTGCGCATCGGCCATTTCTCTCCATAACTAAAGCCACTGTTCTCGAGAATTGTAGTTACTGCTTTTTAGTTGTTCAGCTGTTCGCAAAGGTGGATTCCTCGACTTAAGTCTATTCACCTCTAAAGCAGGAAGTGTTTTATGTACAGGTAGCGTTGGGGCAGCTATTATTTTATCAAATTCTCTAAGAAGAGCCTCGTTTCTGCGTAGATTTGGAGGTAGGATGTTACTCAGAACTGGAAGCCAGTAACTAGGGGTGCATCTGATTGTCCCTGTAATCAGCCGCATGGTGTTGTTCAGCTATCTGTCTACGAGATTTGTGTGGTGGCTATTCAACCACAGGGGTGCACAATACTCTGCCACACTGAATACCAGACCAAGGGCGGAGATCCGAAGTATTGTTGCTTTTGCACCCCACGAAGTACCACAAAGTTTTTGTATAATGTTGTTTCGTGTTCTGATTTTCCCAGCAACATTTTCTAGGTGTTTTCTTCGAAATGAGAGTGTACGGTCTAGAGTAATCCCCAGATATTTTGGATATTTGTTATTACTCAGAGTGGTGTTACCAAACTGGACGCTTATTTCAGTATTCGCCAGCTTGTTATTAAGATGGAAGGTGTCTGTCTTATTTGCATTGGGTTGAAGTCTCCATTTTATAAAATAGGCATTCAAGGATGCGAGATCCTTTGTAAGCGTTTCTTGGGTTTGATATAGCGATTCATATTCCGTTGCTATGGCTATATCGTCTGTGTAACAAAATTTTCTAGATTGCGTATCTGGTAGGTCAGAGATGTATAAGTTGAATACGAGAGGGGCGAGAACGGAGCCTTGGGGTAAGCCGTTGTTAAGTTTTTTAGGTTTACTTGTGCTCTCTCCCTGAAATACTTGGATATATCGGTTAGTTAGCATGTTGTTGGTAACTCGAGCTATAGTTTGACCAGTAAGTGCTTTAAGTAATTTATAAACCATACCATCTCTCCAGACTGTGTCGTAAGCGGCTGTTAAATGGACAATAGCTATGGAGGTTTTAAGCTTAAGTTGGAAATTTCCTTCAATGTGAGATGTAAGTGCTCGAACTTGGTCACAGCAACTGCGTTTAGGAATAAAACCTGCCTGTTCAACTGGAATATGGTCTAAAATACTATCCTTTATTCTATTGAAAATAAGTCGTTCTAGGAGCTTATAGGTACAACTAAGAAGGGCTATGGGTCGATAATTCTGAGGTTGATCTTTAGATTTTCCTGGTTTTAACACAGCTATTATTTTAGTTTTCTTTAATTCCTTTGGAATGTTGCCGGTTGATAAAATTCTCGAGAAGAAACTACAAAACCACTTGAGGGCAGGGTTTCCAGCGTAAATAAGGAATTCTGGATGAATGTTGTCATATCCAGGAGCTTTGTTCAGCTTGATGTCTTTAATAGCTGTGACTATGTCTTCAATTTCGAAGGGCTGTGAATATTCCGAGATATGGGGAGTGGTTTGTTCTTAACTCCTTAAATTTCCTCTTAATCTCAATTGTGTGCTCCTTATCACGTCGAGACCTAGATGTCTCAGCTATATAATTTGCAATTTGATTAGCTGATATTTGAGAGTTTGGCCTATTTTGTCTTGTTGAACCTCCTAAATTACGTAGAAGGGTCCAGGCCTTCCTACTAGATCGATGGAAGTCTGTGTTTTCCACTGTTTCAATCCAGCGGTCTCTTCTAGCAGTGTCTAGACTATGGAGGAGGTTATCTGCAACTTCTTGATCTCCGCTCTCTTTGAATTCCTCGTATAGATGTTCACTGTGTTCGTTCCAGCCCGGTATGTATTCTTTTCTATACCCCCTCGGAATGCATTTATTCGCTGCTGAAATTACAGCCCCGATGAAACGATTATAGTTTTCTGGTTCAGGTGGTATAAAGCGGATACATTGGTCTAATTTTTGTGCATATTGGTCCCAATTAGCTTTCTTAAAGTTCCATCTAGGACGAGGTGTGGATCTGACCACAGGGATTGATACACCCACATTCAGGATCGCTGGTCTATGTGTGCTGTCAAAGATATGCATGGTATATCCACTGCCACAGTGCATCGTGCATAAATTCGTAAAAGTTAAGTACTAAAACGCATATATCCAACTCAAATTTCCAGAGAGCATGCATCTGATTGCCCAGAATTTTCACCGTATAGCAAATATGCCACAGGTAATTTCAATGGTTTATTCGTCATATTTAAAAGGTAAATTTTTGAAATATTATCTATCTGCTATGATAAAATATGTAATTATTGTTTTTTCAAATTGTGTGTTTTCAAAGTCTTTCTCTAAAATTTTGGTATTTTATCAGCATGTTTGGCAAGGTAAATTAAAAAAAACCGACTAGGCGATATTGGGTTGTATGCATAAAGCGAAATAAAATTGAAGTAAAATAGTTTGCTTTCTTTATGTATATTACCCATTTCGTTTTTAGGATGCTGCTCATCAAATCTTCATGAATTGTGAAGAGTAGACACAAATTTATTTTGAAACCTAAACGATATTTACTCTTCACTCCTCAACTCTTCACTATTCACTCGTCGCTCATCAACTCTTCATTTTTATGAAACATGCCCGGGTCGTCCGTACGTTTGAGCGCTAATACTCTTCATAATCTTTTGACGTTTTGAAAGATATTTTACTTCGCAACAGGTTACGAAATAACTTTTTTTTCGTAGCTAGTGATGCAAAATAGCACTGATAAAAACAAAACTTTTCGTTTTCGTTTAGAAGTTACTAGATCGATTGGATACCCAATTATTTAACCCTAAACTACTAAGTGATAATTTTATGACGTAAGCCCCTCGGTAGGCCCTAACTTGACGTCTGACAGACGTATATAATTTATATTATACCGGGTGCGTCTCAAAAGTGGCTCACCCATATAACTTTTTTATTTTTTCAGATTAGAAAACGAGATATGGTATATTAGCATATGACATAATATTTGAACTTGTAACATGCGGTTCATAACAACAATTTTAGTATATCGTCGACATAACGACAAATACCAAACGTGTGGTACCAAATTAGTCGTAAAAAAATGCTTTTTCCAAATATGCTAATGAGCCATCCTCGTTCTATTTAAAAACATTGAGATATGATTAAAAATACGTTTTAGGCATCTTTTAACCGGCCAGGTCAAGACACGAAAAACAATAGACGATCAAATCTATTTTTCCTAGGCTCCTTGATTAAAAATTAGTGTTTTTAATACATCCATGGCACTCTAGATTGAAATTTAAAATATAATTTTGTTTTAAGCGAAAGTGTCAAAGGTTGATACATAATAAGTCATATTATTCAGAGTGTCATTTTCTATAGAATAAAGCATATAAAAACTAAAATATATGGGAAACTGAAATTGAGATCTTTGAAAGGACTTTTTCACCGCAACCAGTTATACACAAATGTGTTAGTTCCGTGACGAACCACCGGTTGCGCTTAAGGCGAAAATATTTAGGCAGTTCAAATCAAATCAAGTCAGTTCTAATCAATTCGAATCAAATAATATGCACCGTCAAAAATCGAAAAAAGTTTTACTGACATTTTAGTGATTGTTTAAACTTTTTATTAAAAACAATGATGGAATCAGGCCGTAAACCCTTTCACGAGCCCTTTCATAAGTATGTTTTGCCGGTGCGGGCGTGCATGGATTTGTTTTCCAAAAGACATACATTCTCGAAGAACGATCCTACATTATTCCAAATGTGATATCAAGTGCGAAACCTTAGAATGGAAAATACAACACAGCAAGATATTTAAAAGTTTTATAGAGTTTGTGATTTACAGTTTTGTAATCAAGATTACGTACCTGGAATAAAAAGAGGTTTAGAAGTTAATTCTCTTCCAAGTGACTTTTTATATACACCAGTTCATATGGGTAAGTATATGCATTTAGTTAAATAAAGAACGTTTTCAGATATTTTGATCTAATAAAATTAAAATAATCTTTTAGATGATCAACCTACTGGTAATTTGGTGTCCAGTGATGTCGATCCAGGTACAAACCCTGTATTTAAAGACAAACATTTGTTGTAGAACTTGTTGGTGGACCACTCTCTAATTGGAATTAGACTTGTACTGTTACCTGAGAAAAGCAGTAACTGAAAAGGGTAGGTAGGCTTCGGTGAACTATCCTGACACACGATTTTTCTTAGAAAATGAAGTTTATGTTACCTTAAAATTAATTTCTTGGAATCTTTGACTAAAATCTGATGCGGAAAAACACGTTTCACATAAAAAATATTCCTAAAAACGTTTTTATTTGATTTTTATAGCAAAATCCATAACCGATAATGAAAAAGTCGCGGACTTATTTATACCCGTTTCTATGTCTACGCTGACAGTAGTAGTGAAGGTCAAATTTTGACAAATATTGAGAATTGATACATGGTTGTCAGATCAGCTAGTAAATTATCCGGAATTTCATGCATTTTTTTAAAACTGTTTTTATTTATTTAGAGTTGTTGGTACAAGCGATCAAAATACGCCGTAGACGGATTTTGATTGCGTTGGTTAGTCTTTGGTGTGATTTTTTTTGTATTTATAGATTGCACTCTGTTTTTATTTATTAAAACTGTTTTTATTTTTTTAATTTATTTAGAGCTGTTGGTCCAAAGCAATTGCGTTGGTTAGTCTTTGGTGTGAGTTTAACTAGTACAAAATTATTAAAAATGACTATTTATTTAAAATAAGAATAGAAAACAAAAAAAGAAAATTCAATGAAACTGACAACATTGCTTTTTATTCTGTCGCTATCATGTCAAATCAAGCGTTAAAATTCTCCATAACGTCAAATATGTGCCAAAAATTACTAAAATCAAATTAAAATATTTTAAAATTCTGCGCATAATCTCCATTTATTTTTATTTAAAACTACTACTAAAAATGGTTACTTTATGATAAAAAAAAGAAAAATGCAAAATTCGTGTGTCAGGATAGTTCACCGGACCCGGGTAGGTACCTACACCGTGGGCCAAATTAAAATCGCAAAATATTCAGTAATGAAGATCAACATTATTTAAAAAAAAATATCATATCAACTTTATAACAAAAAATATTTTAATTGAGCTGCAAATAAACAAGTTATGGCACAGAGGTAAGATCTTTCTCTTGTAAGACCTCTTTTAAGAATTTAACCCAGGCAGTTGTTTACACCCAAGTTAGGTAAGAAATAAAAAATATAATAAGTGGACCATACTACTCAAAAATGTAAATTTGCTTTATTAGCAATTGTTTTTGAATCCTGCTTATTAAAAGGCATATGAAGCACCATAATATATTTCTTATGAAAAATGATGCCTGTGTCAGCTTAAAGACTAAGATAAAAAATTCATAGCCAATTTCTGTTGAGATTTTAGAGCCCTTCAACGGCATCAAATTTTTGATTTTTTCATTATATAAACCATACTCGAGGTTTTTTTGATGTGACATAATTATACATATTTATTTGTTTCAGATCGCAAGCATAACAAAGGAATCGTAAACTTTATATATTATATATAACGTATCATTTCAGTTTCCTATATATTTTAGTTTGTATATGAGAATAAAGTAAAAAAATACTGAGGGTGTCGTTTAAAAATCAAAAGCTGTAGTCATTTCCGGTGAAATAGGAAGTGACAGAAAACAGTTGAATACGTCAATCAGTCCTAATGTATGTCATATACTAACATACCAAATCTCGTTTTTTTAATCTGAAAAAAAAAAGTTATAGGGGTGAGCCACTTTTGAGGTGCACCCGGTAGGTATGGCTTTTGGTAAAAAAAGTGAAGTTTTAAGCAAAATTACTTTTTTATACCTAATATATTTTAACTTCTTTATGAGTTTAAGTATTGCACATAACGGTTATACAACAAATTCTTTTTCTGTATTCGAGAAAATATATTTTTAATTCTTATGTTCACAAAATTAACATTCTAACTAATTCATAGTTTCCTTTTTAATAAATTAATTCTGGTATAGCGATAAATAATATTTCCTCACGATTTTTTTATTGTTTCACTTGTAACCTTTTTAGATTTTTGATTATATAGGATGAGTCTTAAATAAGTGCAAATACTTTTAGGGCTGGTAGATCTTGATAAAAGAAACATATTTTCTCTTTATCATTTTTTAAATAAGTCCGAAATAATCGAGATATTTTACTTTGGATATTTAAAAAAAATGATTTTTCGCTTAAATTTTGAAAAAAACTGAGGATATGTTTTTTAACTAAAAATTAAAACAATTTCCAAAATATTTTTCAAAAAATTCCAAATTTTCAATTTTTTTTTCTTAACTTTTTGATCGTCAAAATGTTTGATCTAGTAACAAAAACATAATAATATTGTCTATGAATATATTTTGTATGTTATTTTTGGACAAAAGATTCTTATATGTCGGACAAATGATTTATTGAACCATCATTTACAAAAGCCAAGCATTTCAAACCGCAATAATGTATAAGCGAAAGTATACATTATTTTTTTATGGTTTGAGTGTTATTGTTTAAAAACAATTTTCAATTTTAAATCTATTGAGAAAGCTACACCAAATATTAGAAAAGTCATCTTTATTTTCGTTTTGAAATATTTCTTAGATTGATTCTTACTAAGTATAATAATTCTATTGTTGTTCCTTAAAAAAGATCAAAATGTGACCGAAACGTTGGAAAGTTATCAACTGAATTGTTCTACCAAGAAAAAGTAAACTATAAATTATATTATATAACATTACCTAGCTATATACAAATAAATAACGTCGTCGGCGATTCCAATGAGAATCCAGGCTATCAGCGATATAATGGCAGCAAGTAAAATGGACCATTTTCTTCCCAATCTGTCCACACAATAAATAGTAACTGGAAGACCCGCTAGACCGCCAATCAGATAAATGGATTCTAACCAGGTGACGTCGCTGTGTGATATTTTGATGTGGCTATCCTCTTTTTCGAGGATCGGCATGAATGGGGCGGACCAACCATAGTGCATGCCATCGGAAATAGCTCCAATAGTACCTAGAAAAAAAGAATGAATATAGTAAGGTTGCATATACCTAATGGAAAATCCATATTTCTATAGAAATATGGACGTTTTATAAACGGAAAATTATACAGGGCGGGCCAAACTGAATTCAGGAAACTTCTGCAAGATTTCTGCTGATGAAAATAATAATTAAAAAAGTTGGTATAAATGTATGTCCTAAAATGCTTCGTTTTGGATAAACAAATATATATATTTCATTTTTATTTTTGGGTTTTCTAAATAATTTTTAAACTAACATCGATATTTGGATAAAAATTGGCAGATATCTATTGTTTTTTTCACATGATAATTTTGATGAATTGATTCTATTACAATAGGACTATTACTTGTAGGGAACGCCACCTACACATTTATAAACTGTTTTAAAGATTAATAACTTTTCGTCCAATTCTGTATAAAACTTTTTCTTCTGACATTGCTATACTCTACGAGTATACAGAGCGTCGGCTATCTCTCGCATGTATTTCTGCATGTGATGTGTGTCATCAGTGTTTCACAAGTACATGGGACCGAATCCCAACGGCACTATTTGAGAGGCTGTACGAGGCAAATATTCTCAAGGTGGTTTGCCATTTCCTTCATTGAGGTGGCGGCTCGCTGGTCGCTCTATTTAGGTAAATTAATATTTTTGTTTAAATAAATAAAGCGACCGTACTGGCTGAGGATCGAACCCAGTACTATCCCATCTCTCGCACCGCAGATTGACACACTATTGCTTGCGCTACGGCCGAGGCCGGCCGCAATGTATAATACTACTGAGTGAAAAAATATACATTTTTGTAATTTTCTACTTAAAAAAGATGTCTTCGTAAAAATCGCTACAAGCAACCTTTCTCAAGATATTTAGAATAGAAATAGTTTAGAATTTTTAGAATATATGTCATTATTGACAATAATAAACATGTTGAGTAGATAGTTATATGACCGAAATAAGGAATTTCGGAACTTTTTCTATTTTCTACTTTCTATTTTTTAAAATTTTCTTGGAAAATTATGATAAAACAGTTTCTGTTGAAACAAAAAAACATTTTAAAATTTATTATTTCAGTCTAATAGACTATCTTGTGAACATGTTTAATTTATGGAAATTATCACATGTATTGAGTATTTCGATTACAAATATCTGGAGAAACATTACTCGTAGCTATTTATACCTTTTTTACCCTTATTACTTTACCTTATTTTTACCCTTACTTATTATTTTTTACTCGGTAGTGTAATACAAGTACGGACGAATAGTGATTACCTTTCAAAACAATTAAAAACATGCATCAGGTTGCGTCCCCTACAAATAGAAGCATATTGACGTCGAAATCAAAAAACATCCAGACACTTATTTTTATCCAAATATCGATGTTAGTTCAGAAATTATTTGGAAAAAATCTAAATAAAAAAGAAGTTTATACATCCTGTATTTCCGAAAAAGAAAAAAAAATTATACGAACCTTTTCACATATATTTTATTTGTTTTATCTGTAGAATATTCTACCGAAATTTTCCGAAAACAATTTGGACCTCCTATATATTATTATTAAATATTTGTGAAAAATTATTAAAATAAATTATTATACATTTTGTTAATATATTTTTTAATTATAGGACATCATAAATAATTAACCATTAAACTGTTTGACAACTTGATACTAATCTAGGAGTATTCTAGACTCTAAACTCACTCCGAAATACCTGGAATTATTACAAATATAAATAAATATTTTTAAAAATCTAAATAAACCGTTACTTCTAAGCAGTCTTTAGAAACGGCTTCACTACGATTGATGATATACATACACTAAGAGAAACTATCAGCCGAACAAAAGAATACGAACTTCCACTAGCCATAGCCTTTGTAGACTTTGAGAAGGCTTTCAACTCGATATATCCTAAGGCAATAATAGAAGCGAAACAAGGTAGTGACAGGCCTTATATAGAAACCCTCCCCAATATAAGCAAAGAACCCAAACCAAGAATAATGATATATAAAACAACCCCAGAGTTCCCAATTGGCAAAGGAGTATGAGAGGGTACACGGTATCCCAAAGCTGTTTACAACAACATCAGAAGAAATCGATCGTCAACTGGACTGGACCAACAAAGGGTTAAAAATAGATGGAGAATAACTTAATCATCTAAGATTCGCTGATGACATGGTCCTAATTGGCAATAGTCATGAAGAACTAAAAGCACAAATTAATGAACTACAGCCAGAATGACTTATGCATGCGAAATTTGGACATTTAAACTGGATATCATAAGGAAACTGCAGATCGCATAATACTCAATGGAATGAAATATGCTGGGAATAACCAAGAGAGACCATAAAAAAACAGGGTGGGTACGACAAAAGACCCAGATAATAGATCCACAGAGTCAAATCTCTCAAATGGCAAAGCGCAGGACACCTGGCAAGAAGAAGAGACAACAGATGAACCACAAAAATTACAGAATGGTACCCAAGAGGAATTAAGAGACCTAAAGGAAGACCGAATCTGAGATGGGACCATGATATTAGGAAATTAGCAGGGATTACTTGGGCCCGCATAGCCCATATAATAGGAATGATTGAATAAGCTGAAAATGATGATGATGATGATGACTTTTTTTTTATATTTTTGTTTATTATTTTTAATTTTACCGTTTCATCTACTGCACCTATATTCTAAAGCCATGATTATGTTGGAACTGTAATAAAAGATGCAACATTTTATTGAAGCAAATGTAACAACGAAATAAAATGTTTATTTATACAAAAAAAGCGTCGAATCACTTGTGTACAAATAGATCCATTTTATTATGTTGCTTCGCGTTTACTATTTATTACAATTTCAAAATGATCGTGTTCCTAGACATGCCGGAGGCAGAGCACCAGTTTCGATCAACTCAAAATATGATCTTTATGAAACTCTGCCACCATCACTAGCACCATCACCATTAACATTATCTCACAGGTCTGTTGACTGTGGCCAAAAGCAAGGGCCACAATGTAATTATTGTAAAAATTAGGAAAAAATGTTAGTGTCTTCTTCAAAAGCGAATATCTCCAACAAAAATAAAGCAATTGAGATGAACTAAAAACCAAACTATCGAGAAAGAATATACTAACCTGATAAAATTATTTTTAAATTCCTTGCTATCTTAACATATTCTACTGACTGTTTCAAATTTTAACCAAAATATCAACATTTCGTTTTCCCTCGACTGATGTGAACTTTCTTTTTTAATTTAGAAAGGGATACAAAAAAGTAACATAATTTAGCTACATACTGCTTTAAAAATCATCAAAATCGGCCAACTAGAATAAAATATATTAAACTTTAAATTACATCGATATTTCAAGGTGCCCGTTTTTCGTGCCGTTGAGTGTATTTCCTGAAAGTTTTATAGAAACGCAGTCTATTTGGGAATTTTTACAACTGAAACATAAACTGCAGAATTTTTATGGCGAATCGTATTTGAATGTTTTCCAAGCGAGTGCAACTGCACGTCAATTGTTTTTGTAAATTACAAGAGGTAAATAAGAATCTATCATTTTCAGAGCTTTTGTAAACCTAAAAAAAAATCTGTGTTTTTTTTCTCATAATTATCTGCAAATCATTATTGAAACACGCAATTTTACGAAATTGATAAGTAATGAAACAAATATCACATGTAGCCAAGAAAATATAAGGTGTTTTTTGATAACGTGTTATAAAAAGCTTCTATAGGGCAAAAATAATATGTTCTGATAATAATTCACTAAACAGGGATATAAACCACATCAAAAATACATTAATAAAAAACGACTATCCACCATCTTTTATTAACAAAACATTAAACGAAATACAAACCGTGAATCATAGGCAGAATACACACTATGATAATAATACAGAATATATTATACAACCTAAAATTCCATACATGCGAGACGTTTCGGAAAAAATAAGAAAGATAGGAAAACAGTATAACATAGGAACATGTTTCAAAATACAAAATACTGTTATATTCAGTTTAACCAATGAACACTAGACAACAAACAAAAAATGTAATATAAATAATACAATGTGAATATAATAAATTTTATATTGGTGAAACATCTAACCTTTAAATGTTGGAATTAAAGAACAAAGAATATTTAAGAAAGGGCGATTTTCACAAATTTAAGATTTGTCAGCATTCATGGGCCACAGGGCAAAGAGTAGATTTTATTTTTTTTTAATTATTTTATTAGGAAATAGAATGATTGATCAAATAATGTATCTTGAAAAATACATTGATCGTCAACTAAAGTTTTAATTTCATCTCTTAAACAAATAATTCCTAATTTTCTTATATATTATTAGGAAAAGAAATAGCGTCAGTTATGATATTCTATAGTGGGGCTTTTATTCTTAATAAATATGAACGTGGATAATATACAATATTTTTTTTTTAAATCGATAACGAAAAAATGTAGATGTCAAATTTAGAGAACTAGATGCCAATTAAAAGAAAATGTTTTTCTGTTTGATGGCCATTTTAAGGGTCACGCTGCGCCTTATCCTTATAGTTTCTGCGCAACTGTACCACTGCGGATCTCGCCAACGTGTTTCTCTAAAATTGACCCGACTGCAGCTTACTTTGCAGTTCTAGTGTGTACTCTTTTATTACCCCAATTTCTGCCATAACTAGCATTTATACGATCAAGATCTTCAAATGCTTAGTTTCGGATATACAGGGTGTAGAATTTACATTTTTATTTAAATTTTTTCAAAATAACTTATGAAGTAACGTCAATATTTGTATGAGAATTGGGTCTGAGAGTTTTTTGACATAAGAAATTTGATTTTGATGTCAATATGACTCCTTATTGTAGAGGGAGACATGATTTAACTGCTTTGACGAGTAATAACTTTTCGTCCGTATCTGTATAAAACTACTGAGTAGTAAATATACATTTACGACGTTTTTTTACGTAAAAAAGGTCTCTTGGTAAAAATCGCTACGAGTAATGGTT